TAAAAGTGCTGCTGAAGTGGAGAAACAAACTCATTTTGAGAAAACGGCCTTTAAAGATATGTATTTTAATCGAAATCCACAGAAGCACTTCAAATAATCATTTAAATGTGTATTTGGGATGTTTTCTTTCCACTAGTCTAAAAGAAGTCATGTTATGGAAGCAAAATCTCAAAACTGACAAGTGCACGAAAAATAAAAAAGTATTTAGCCTGTTTCACCTTCAGAGAGACACACAGACGTGGTCATGATTATAGTGGCTACGTGTGATCTGTGCCGTTTGTCCTCACCCTGTGTGGTCTAGAAAGTCTCTTTGTTGTTTGATCTTTGCTTCGATGCGGGAAGCGACGTCCTCACAGAATCTGCTCATGGAGGCGTCGAGGCGTCCGCCGTTGTGCTCGTCGTTCTGAGTCCTGCACACGGCTGCATACTGCACCATACTCTCCTCTACAGACATATGCACACGGCTGCTGACTGTGCTCAACTATAGTAAAGCCCAACTAAGAATATATGAAAATGTTGGCTGTGACTGACCTGAAGCGAGGCTGCGTGTGAGCTGGCGGGAGCTCATCTCCTTGTGAAACTTGTGCTGTGCAGAGCAGAGGTCGCACAGGTATTTGGCAACTTTTGACTTTTCGGTCAGAAAGATGTGCTTCTTTTTGCTGGTGCTGCTCTCAATGATGAATTTATGTCGCTGTGTCGATGAGAACAAAGTAAGTAATATTATGTGGAGTAACGGCATCAGATTCAATGTGGTCCTATCTATCTATCTATCTATCTATCTATCTATCTATCTATCTATCTATCTATCTATCTATCTATCTATCTATCTATCTATCTATCTATCTATCCATCTATCTATCATCTGTCTGTCTATCGTCTGTCTGTCTGTCGTCTGTCTGTCTATCGTCTGTCTGTCTGTCTTCTGTCTGTCTGTCTGTCTATCGTCTGTCTGTCTGTCGTCTGTCTGTCTGTCTGTCTGTCTGTCTATCTGTCTGTCATCTGTCTGTCTGTCTATCTATCTGTCTGTCTGTGTGTCTGTCTGTCTGTCTGTCATACATCTATCTATCTGTCTGTCTGTAATCTATCTATCTGTCTGTCTGTCTGTCATCTATCTGTATGTATGTCTGTCTGTCTGTCATCTATCTATCTATCTATATATATCTATCTGTCATCTAGGGGTGTGCGATATTGACAAAAAATTATATCTGGATATTTTATGGGATTTTATCGATAACGATAATTAGACGATATTTTGCTGAGTGTGTTATTGTGTTGAAGACGGCTGACTCCTAATGTTTTTAATATTCTTCATATTCTGTGTGGTGGTCAGTTCATACTGATAGAAATTAATCTTTTCCAATAAGTTTAAACTGATTTTTGCATTTTATGGGCATTTTTACCTTTATAAAGCCATTTTTTCTAAAAGTGTCCATTATCTTTTGAGTAAAATTCTTACATTTAATCAGGGAATTAGAATAATAAGACATTTGGGCTGTTACCAAGCAAATTAAATCAACACAGAAGCTGTGGCATTTAGATGTATTTACACACATGTATTTTGTTTAATGCAAGACATGAATGCATTTAACCTGCAATTACAAATGCATAAATAATGTTTTGATATATGCTACAAGAGCTTCTCTGAAACGCTGGACTTTGAGATCTAGAAGTGAAACAAACAGACATTATAGGTGAATAATTACAAATTTTAACGAATAGATATCATACTTTGCCCTATTGAATAATCAACAGTGTATTACATATTTTCTGAAATGTTATATCTAAAAATTTACAAATAAGGCTTTATCTAATTGACCCATGTGCTGTGATGAAAATGCTTTACCTGATTCTGTGTTCTTGGTCAAAATTGAACGACCTTTTAAAAAATTATGCGATATTATGACCAAATCTGGGATTCGATCTTTTTCTCGACTTGTTTTCTTTCAATTAGCACGGGTTTTGTATTTCTTTTTGGGGCTGATTGGTAGTAGGCCTCATTGATCTGAGCTTAAACCTTAGTTTTTAAATGAAAAAGTCTTATTTGTGGATAAGTTTGGCAATGTTCACTCAAAAACTGAGGTGCATAAGCTCAGATCATTAAAGCCTACCATCAATCAGAGTACAAAAGAAATTCAAAACTGAAAGAAAACAAGTCGATAAAAAGACTGAATCCAATATTTGGCAATAATATAGCATAACGAGAAATGTATAAGCAATTTTTTTGTAGGGTGGTTATTTTTGACTGGGTTCAACATCCCAAAAAGGTAAATAAAAAAAAAATCCCAAAAAGTTACTACATAAATAAAAATAAAATAAATACAAAAGAAATTCAAAACTGAAAGAAAACAAGTCGATAAAAAGACTGAATCCAATATTTGGCAATAATATAGTAATAAATGTATAAGCAATTTTTTTATAGGGTGGTTATTTTTGACTGGGTTCAACATCCCAAAAAGGTAAAAAAAAAAAAAAATCCCAAAAAGTTACTACATAAATAAAAATAAAATAATGTAAACATCCAGAAGAAAAAGAGTAGAAATAAAAAATGTTATATAATTCAGTGTGGATGATATATCAACAAACCCCTCTGTAAAAACCTTTAATATAGACAGGAATAAAACTGTAAAATTTAAAAGTGCTGCTGAAGTGGAGAAACAAACTCATTTTGAGAAAACGGCCTTTAAAGATATGTATTTTAATCGAAATCCACAGAAGCACTTCAAATAATCATTTAAATGTGTATTTGGGATGTTTTCTTTCAACTAGACTAAAAGAAGTCATGTTATGGAAGCAAAATCTCAAAACTGACAAGTGCACGAAAAATAAAAAAGTATTTAGCCTGTTTCACCTTCAGAGAGACACACAGACGTGGTCATGATTATAGTGGCTACGTGTGATCTGTGCCGTTTGTCCTCACCCTGTGTGGTCTAGAAAGTCTCTTTGTTGTTTGATCTTTGCTTCGATGCGGGAAGCGACGTCCTCACAGAATCTGCTCATGGAGGCGTCGAGGCGTCCGCCGTTGTGCTCGTCGTTCTGAGTCCTGCACACGGCTGCATACTGCACCATACTCTCCTCTACAGACATATGCACACGGCTGCTGACTGTGCTCAACTATAGTAAAGCCCAACTAAGAATATATGAAAATGTTGGCTGTGACTGACCTGAAGCGAGGCTGCGTGTGAGCTGGCGGGAGCTCATCTCCTTGTGAAACTTGTGCTGTGCAGAGCAGAGGTCGCACAGGTATTTGGCAACTTTTGACTTTTCGGTCAGAAAGATGTGCTTCTTTTTGCTGGTGCTGCTCTCAATGATGAATTTATGTCGCTGTGTCGATGAGAACAAAGTAAGTAATATTATGTGGAGTAACGGCATCAGATTCAATGTGGTCCTATCTATCTATCTATCTATCTATCTATCTATCTATCTATCTATCTATCTATCTATCTATCTATCTATCTATCTATCTATCTATCTATCTATCTATCTATCTATCTATCTATCTATCTGTCTGTCTGTCTGTCTGTCTATCTGTCTGTCATCTGTCTGTCTATCATCTGTCTGTGTGTCTATCGTCTGTCTGTCTGTCTGTCTATCTGTATTTTACAGTCTTAATTTTAGGACTTTAAACCCCTAGAAGAAATATCAAAATTAATTAGAATTTAGTGGAAAACATTTTCCTCATAGAAGACGTGTATTTAAGTCATTGTGTTTATGAATTATATATTTTTAAATAACATAATAAATTTGGACAAAAATGAGTATGATGGAATCAAACTGTTTATACTGTATACTTCTTATACTATTCAAGGAAAAATCAACCTTTCTCACAGTGCGCACATTAAGCATGGACAGGGGGAAGTGTTTTAACATTTTTGCTGTTGTTTCATAACAAAAATACCAAAAATCTTCCTAAATGATACGGTGTTTGTTGACTCACAGCTGAGGTGATATTGGTCGTCTCTCTCCAGTAGAATCTAAGGCTTGCGGTTCGGGAGTTATTAATAACTTCATACACAATGACTCCTTTGGCACACACTCCCAGCAGCAGCTCTCCGAACACGGGCTTCTTCTCACGGGCCGCGCGGTGAAACAGCACACCGTACTCCGGAAGCTGCTGGATGCTCTGTGGAGGAGTTAGGCAGCGCTGCCAAGTCATTTGGACAGATTATGTGATGCAGGACACCCACCAGCCATCATCGCATCCAGAAAAGCTGTTCAGACCTAATGGAGTCTGTAAAAATATCTGGCCTGCAGCCCGTACAGTCATTATGGGTTTGAATAAATGCAAGATGGCAAGATGAAAAGCAGTTTGTCACATGCAGCACGAACAAATGCAGCTGTCACATTTTCCATCCTTCTCGTTCTTTATTTTCACTCAAAAATGTGGCCCCAAAAATTATTTGGACACTTAAGTCACACTTAAAAATGTCTGAAATTCATTGCATTAGAAGTTCAAATATCAAGAACTGACTTCATTGACTCCAAATTGTTATTTGAAAGTAAGATCTAAAAAAATATGTAAGCATATTTCATTTCAGTTAGTTGCCAAGGCAACATGTCTTATTTAAATTTAGTTTAACTTGACATACTAAAATAACTAAAACTGAAATATGTAGAAAATAAGTATATATACCGTATATATATATATATTTATTTTCTACATATTTCAGTTTTAGTTTTAGTTATTTTAGTATGTCAAGTTAAACTAAATTTACTACACTAAACTAGCTTTTATTAATTTTTAAAGTACTTTTTATTTTTCCATTTTCCATTTAATTTTTATATTTTAAATTAACATTTGAGAACTTTAGTTAAATTGTATTAATTGTATATTTTTGTAATATATATACATATATATATATATATTACAAAAATATACAATTATTAAAAGTTAATTTAAAATATCAAAATATAATGGATAATGTAAAAATAAAAAGTACTTTAACAAGTTAAATAAAAGCTAGCTCTCACCTAGGAAACTTGTTAAAACATATATCTCATGAGGTTTTTGAGTCAAATGTCTAATTATGCAAAAGTGTGTTTTCTCTAACTTTAAACTCTATCAAATTATTAATATTAATATTATTTTTGCATGAATTCTGTCCTCTTTTTACTGTAGCTGTTAGATAAAGAAATGAACACAATGAAACCACAATGATATAAACTTAGAAAAGTAGATTTAAACTGTACTCTCAAGATGAAGTGCTTTTTTATGTCATGTTTTCACATTTTTATCATGTTTAATGTTGCTGTATGTTACCTCTTGCAGTTTTATTGTTTCATAGATGCTTTCCTGTTTTAACTGAATTGAAAAGCCTAATAGGCTGTTTAATGGCTGTGACAACTTACCCCATATTATGTGACAACATGCCCCTTTGTAATAATGAGGATTCTTAGGGTTAAATGTTGAATAGAAATGTTCACTAGAGTAAAATGTGTACCAGCTAACACCGGCCTGCCCTACATACGTCATATGAAAGAGTAAAATGAAATGATGATGGCATTTAATGACATACTGTGTGTGCTGTCAGTAAACACAGAAGTGAATGTAACCTTGAGAAACTCCAGCTCGGCCTCCTCTGCACTCATGTTTGCATTGCTGGCGTGTAACTGTAGCAACTCTTCTTTCAGGCAAGGCATTGCCATTTTCTGTAAAACACTCTTGGAAACGTAATGCTCAGGCTGATAGTAGTTCTTCCCCCAGACCTGCAGAAGACACAGAAAACTGTGTTTTAGTCTTTCTAACCCAAGTATACACTCATACATGTTACATTAAATTAGTTCATTACAAAACCATCTAGCATCTGCTTAATAGAAATTTGACCTGATACGTTCTCAATGCTTCCTGAAGACGTAATATTATTTATTTTTATCTTCTCTGGCACCATTGAAAGGTGTGACATCACTGCACAGATATAGAGATTAAAGCACTATTAAGTATTTATGACTGTAACACTGAGAATAAATCATAGCAATGCCATCATGTCATTTTTGGTTAATATTGTTAACTAAAATCAGAAATAAAAAAAATCAGAAACTGAAATAAAATACTTGAACATAATATAAAATAATAACATTTTCATTATCTGAAAAAAAAAATATATATATAATAAAATTGTAAACAAACTCAGCTGACACACTGACAAAATTATTCATCAAAATCAGAAATATATATTACATAAAAAATACAAATCAGATTATATAAATCAAAAAAATATATATTTTATAAAATATTACAAATTGAAAACGTATTTTATTTCAGCTAGTTGCCAAGGCAACAGTTCTTAATTTCATTTAGTTTAAGCTGATGGACTAAATTAGCTAAAACTTAAAACTAAAACAAATAAAAACTATAAAGATATATATATAAAAAAGCAAAAATTTATTAAAATTAATAAAAAAGACAAAAACATACAACCTGACCTTAATTAAAAGAAAACAGAAAATATAAAAATAGAATCTTATTCACTATAATGATATATCTCAGTGATACCTCAGGCACACTGTCCCCAAACTCGGCTTGAAGAGCCAAGGCACCAAGAAACAAGCAGGTCTCCTCATTACAGGGCAGACGATCGTCCAGAATGTCCCGTCTCAGCTGGAGATAGTACTGATGACGGGTCAGCTTGTGTCTGCCGCCATGAAGGGCAAAGTTAGACAACAGTGACAGATAGAAACACACCATTAAATGAGGGACAGGAAGAGACTTACAGGAGAACAGAGACGTCATTCACAAAATATCTGATGCGGAAATGAAGCACAAATGTGGCAGAGGGCACTTTTTTCCAGGTGCCAGGGGCAACTTTGGATATTTTTGTGTCATTGTCAAGAAAGAGAAATTCATTATCTGAAAAAGAGAAAAAAATACTATAAGTTATATACAAAAGCATCCTTCACACTGACCTAATTAGTCATCAGTATGACAATTAGAAATACTAAACATTATATATTAAATTATATATTACATATTTTTTTAATTATTTGAAAATTATTAACAAATTATTAATTTGTTAGTTCTGATTGCGTCTATTGTCCTCATTTGTAAGTTGCTTTGGATAAAAGTGTCTGCTAAATGACTAAATGTAAATGTAACAAAATATGTATTTATTATATTCAAAATACCATACCAGCTTTATTATAGTTAACTAAAATTAAAAGTAAAAGGATCACAATTTTGTCACTTGAAATAAATGTTAAATGAAATCAAATAAAATCTAAAAAAGTTTATATATATATATATATATATACACAAACCAACATCAATATCAGAATTATAAATATTTTTTAAATATATTATGTATTATATTAAAAAAAAAATCAATTATTTTAATATTCATATTTATAATAATATATTTTTTATTATATTCAAAATACCAGACCAGGGTCATTATAGGTAACTAAAATGAAAATCAAAATTTGTTACTTGAAATAAAAAAAATGGCACGAACTGATTGACATGAACTGAAATAAAATATAAAAAAATCTAGTTTAACTTGATGTACTAAAATAACTAGAACTGAAATAAAAATGTAATAAAAACTTAAATAAAATAAAACTTTAATAAAATATGAAATATATAAAAAGTATGAAAAAAAAGGCAAAAAACACAACAAAATTAGTGAAAGGTTAACTAAAATGAAAATGAAAAGAGGAAACATAAAAATAAAAACGAATTCAATAATAAAAAACTATAATGATACTAAAATATCACTGCACCAAACCAAAACTAGGTGTATTACCATCACTATATGCAAGGCCAAAGTAAAAGTGTTCCACGAGGTTTGCATGAGCGACGATCATATCAAAGACGTCGGCTCCTCGGGACTTGACGTCACACTTGAGCAGAATGTTCTGTCCGTTTGGCATCATCACTGTCAAGTCCCTTTGGTTTGATGGTGACCTCCCTTTGTTTGACTGGGGGGTGGAACGAGAGAGGAAATAAGTGCAACCCTTCTTAGTATTATGTAACAGATTGCTTGGTGTCGAGCCAATACTCTTGCTCTTAGCGATATTAAACCGACCACAATAGAATTAGGCAGCTCTAAATCCACCAGAGGCTCCTCCAGCATTTGGATGAACTCTGGGCCTGCATCCTGAGGACCAACACAGACGAGAATTACTCAGTGATCCTGAATGGAACGTTTTATAACCTGAGAGAAATTTCACATTTAGGCACATTTAGTCCCTTACCTTTATTTTCCGTTCGTTAAGGCTAAATGAAGAGCCAAACAGCTGATTTGACCTTGAGCTGAAGTGGCGCCGTCTGTCAGGAACAGGACTTTGGCTCAGCCATGTCATGTTTCTGCTCCTTTGGTGTGAACTATGACTTCTAGAAGATGAAGAGCAGTGAGTTTGGATCTTAACCCTATAAAGCACATCTCTAAGGCCTCGGAATGATCAACATGTTAAACCTGCCGCACACAATCTGCATGCCTTCTGTCGTCTGACTGATAGTTTAAACTTGTTTTACTCTAATTGTACAAACGTCCAGCTTCAGCTGGTGTGCTTCACGAGTCTTTTTGCTGTCAAATGGTTTTTATAAAGTAAACATAAGAATAACTTTTACATTGTTAATAATATTTCAAGATGAACACCTACTGGACTGAAGCTACGTAGGTTTTTTTCCCTTTTATTTTTTAGAAAAATCATGTTCAAATGTGAGTCTCAAATATGATCATCAGGCTTTTGAGGAACATTTATTTGTTCATCTCTCACTCATCATTGGATTGCATTGCACTATATGTTTTTTATCATAAAACTAAGCATTTAAATATCATTTTACTAAGAAGACATAGAGTGACAACTGATATTTATATACATATCTTACATTACCGCTTACGTTTTGACCATAAAACTTTCAGCATCTGCACCAAATCACATATATTTGTTCAGTTTGGGCTTATGAAATAAAATATAGGTGTCTTTTCTCCTTCATATTCTCGCTATATCATACTATATGACCTATAAAAGCCTGAAGTATCAAAAATGATACTTTTTGTTTTAATATATATTTTTTTAACGTTTCAATAAACAACTATTGACTATTATTTCATGTGTCAGGCTTTACAGAGTTAAACCTTTTTCATGGTTTAAATAATTATTTCCTCATCTTGTTTAAATTAGAGAGCAAGAATCAGAGAAATAACCGCATTTACCAAACTCATCAAGTCAGCATTAAATTAAAATCACATTTACTTTTTATAATGCACATTATTGGTGTAACTGTGTAATTAATCATTGTAAATTACTCCGAAATGAACAGACACCTTGCCTTCATGATCTTTGATCAAAATGACTCCACCTATGGAACAAATTTCCTTTCTGAGTGATGAATCACAAAAAAAACTAAACTCTGGACTCCTCCCCTCCAATCACCATCCCGATCTCCCACTTTTCACAATCCAAGTAAGTAAAAGGACTTGTGGATGTTGATTCTTAACATATGCAGGCATGCCTGATGTTGAAGGGATGAGTTGAGAGCTGCTGACCTGCTGAAGTCTGCTGGTGACGGTGTGCTGTTCCCTTTAAATGGCCAGACAGAGTTCTGACGGGAAGCACCTAATGCAGACCAAGAGGGTTAAACTGCAATGTATTTCATGGATCTTTATTTTAAGAGTAATGCCACTTTGTGAGGTTATTCTTAAAAATTCAGTTTATTCTTAAAAAATAATTTTGAGAAACATACCTCGAAGTCTTTCTCTAACCATCTGGCTTCGGTCTGTAAGATGAGCAGAATCATTTGGGTTTCTTTCAGCCTAGAAAACAAAAACAATACTCTGTTTCTGTTAAAGTGGACATCGGATGCTCATTGTCCACAAGTTGGTATGATTCTTTAAGGTCTTCCTGAAATGTCTGTAACATACTTTGGTTAGAATTCCTCAACGGTCGTGTATAACAACTTGTCAAGAACAGCTCTGTTCACAGTGAGCCGTTTCGGTGCATGTCTCTTTAAATGTTAATGAGCTAATGTTGTAGTTGTGCTATGTTCACTTTTACATCAAACTACAAAACACCTGCATTGCTTACGAGACCTTGTTGTTGCTACAGCTGCTCGAGCACCGAGAAAACGGATGAGGGCGGAGACATGCTAGCAGCCGGGGGCGGGGCCTGAGCAGTGTGACATCATACTGCTCAGAAAATCAAAACGTCCCCTTTAAGTAAACATGTCAGATCCATATTCAAGGTGAAAACTGCCTAAAGTTTGAACATTTACAATGTTGGGTAAAAGTTGTAAATAAAACAAAGATTACTGGAGTATGTTTTACAAGAAAATGATACTATTTCAGTCTTTCTACTAAATGTTTAATACAGTGTGTTAAGTGTAATTATTGTGTTAAAAAATGTTTGCGTTCATGAAGTTCCAAATAAAAAAATAAATAAATTAGATGAATTACTAGATTCACTGGATTATCCAAAATAGACATTAATGTCTATTTAATGGTGATTGAATGAAATAACATACAAACAAACAAACAAATTAATTAATTTTCATTTGAAAAAAAACCCAATTATTCTATACTAAGATCATTTAATTCACTGTATTATCAAGAACTTAAAAAAATTATTTTAAATGTATTTATAAAAACTATTATTATCTAAATTTATACGCAAAAAAAAATACTCAAACGCACTTATTTAACACCATTTCTTTGCACTTATTTATGCAGTTTACTGGCAATTTCTGACTGAAAACTGTTTGAAAATAAATCCTACACCAGCTTATTTTCAGTGTAGCTGACTATTACAAACACTAAAATATGTAAGATACACAGAGTCTTTTAGTGAACCTACAGGGAGAGATTGTTGTATTAGTTTCAGTGCTGGTAATGTTTTTTTTTTTTTAAACCACAATTAAGTGTTACCAAATGTGAGCCTGGAGCACAAAAGCAGTGTTAAGTCGCTGGGGGATATTTGTAGCAATAGCCAAAAATACATTGTATGGGTCAAAATGATAGATTTTTCTTTCATGCCAAAAATCATTAGGATATTAAGTAAAGATCATGTTCCATGAAGATATTTAGAAAATTTCCTACCGTAAATATATCAGAACTTCATTTTTGATTAGTGATATGCATTGCTAAGAACTTCATTTGAACAACTTTAAAGATGATTTTCTCAATATTTAGATTTTGTTTTGCACGCTCAGATTCCAGATTTTCAAATAGTTGTATCTCAGCCAAATATTGTCCTGTCCTAACAAATTTACGTACCTTATTTATTCAGCTTTCAGATGATGTATAAATCTCGATTTCGAAAAACTGACACTTAAGATTGGTTTTGTGGTCCAGGGTCACATATGGTAAAATGACTAACCACCCAGCTCCCAGTTACCTGCAGAACATCCTCTGCCATCTGTCTGATGGCTTTCTGTGGCCGGGGCAGGACGGTGGTCTTATGGTGTTGTTCACACGTCTCCAGCACTGTCAGCAATTTCACCCGTTTGTGAGCCACATCCTCGCACATGCTCAGTAAAAGACTGTTCAGGCTGTCGCTGAGCCGGATGGGCTGTCGGGAGACGAGGTGCAATAAGTCTTCAATTTACACTTGTTAAAGGTGCACTAACTGTAGGCTTAGCTGGTTTTGACCACTGACAAATGTAAATGCTGATTTAATTTGTTGAAAAAAACTTTAAGGGGGATTCGTATCATCCAATAAGGAACAAAAAGTGTTCAATTTGATTTGATGTTGACTTTAACCCTCTGCCACTTCATTCTTGTGACTAATAACCATGACACTTTTTAATGAAATTAATGTACTATAGTTATAGTTTAATTTTTCTTTATTATTTTGTATTTTGTGTAGATTTCATGGTACAGTACTAAGCAATATTCATCTCCAAGCTTATTATAGTTAACTAAAACTTAAACTAAAATTAAAACCATAAAAAACATTTTTTTATTTGAAATAAAATAAACATTACCTAAAATAAAATAAAATACAAAAATACCTAAACTTTTTTTTCAGCTAGTAGCCAAAGCAACATTTCTCATTTTCACTTAAACTGATGTATTATTTAACGAAATAACTAAAACTGAAAAAAAGAATTATATATACAGTAT